GGTGAGCCCCATTTCTCCCAGGGGTCATATAGTCCTTATTTTGTATAAGTTTTCATATTTTGAGGTATAGCCTGAGCCTTATTTCCGGCATTGTCATGTTGCTCCTTTGTACTCTTAGAGGCTCCGTAGACGTTTATGTGGGTCATATATATAGGTTGGGGTGGTCGTTGGATCGAGTTGTATTTTGGGAACTCAACTATGACATAATGTATATAAGGAAAAATGAACAAGCAACGTTTATATATTTATATAACTGATCCCCCCTGTTTTACAAATGGTGATGCGATCCATTTTTGGATTATGAATCAGTCGGGTAGGAAAGGTTTAATAGGCTTGCTCGACCGGGTTCACTCAGTTGAGCATCTGTCGCGCTCCCCGAGGTTGGGGTGTGACACATATGATGTTTATCGACTTAGAAAAGGCTTACAACAAAGTCCCGAGGGAGGTCCTGTGGAGATGTTTAGAGGTTAGAGGTGTACCTATAGCATACATTACGATGATTAAGGACATGTAAGATAGAGCTAAGTCTCAGTTGAGGTCAGTAGTAGGAGAATCAGAACACTTTCCAGTTGTGATGGGGTTGCACCAAGGATCATCTCTTAGCCTATTTTTATTTACCTTGGCAATAAATGCACTGATGCATCATAATCAAGAGGAGGTGCCATGATGCATGTTATTTGTAGATGACATTGTACTAATTGACGAGACACGAGGGGATGTTAATGCGAGGTTGGAGGTTTGGAGGAAGAACTTAGATTCTAAAGGTTTCAAGTTACGCAGGACCAAGATAGAATACTTAAAGTGCAAGTTCAGTGATGTGACTGATAAAGCGGACGAAGACGTGAAACTTGATGCATAAGTCATCCCCAAGAGAGGAAGTTTCAAGTACCTTAATCCAAGAAAATGGGCAGATTGACGAGGATGTCATACATTGTACCGGAGCTGGGTAGATGAAATGAAGGCTCATTTTCGGTATTTTATGTGATAAGAATGAGCCACCAAAACACAAAGGTAAGTTCCATAGAGCGATGATTAGACGACTATGTTGTATAGGATAGACTGTTGGCCATTCAAGAACTCCCATATCCAGAAGATGAAGGTAACAGAGATGAGAATATTGAGATGGATGTGCGGGTATACCAGGATAGATAAGATTAAGGATGAAGTTATTCGGGACAATATGGGCGTGACCCCTATGGAGGACAAGATGCGGGAAGCAAGGTTAAGATGGTTTGGGCATGTGAAGAGGAGAAGTACAGATACCCTAGTGAGGAAGTGCGAGAGGTTGGCTTTGGCGGCTCTTAGGAGAGATAGAGGTAGACCAAAGAAGTATTGGGGAGAGATGACTAGGCAAGATATGGTGATGCTTCAGCTCACCGAGGACATGACCTTTTATAAGAGGGCGTGGAGGTCGAGGATTATAGTAGAAGGTTAGATAGTCCAGCATTTTTCTTATCCATACCAGTAGTACTAGTGTTAATCTTGTATTTTCATAGTCGTAGATTTCTATTACTATTTGTTGTTCTTTTTTTCATCTTTCTTTGAGTCGAGGGCGTACCATATATAGCCTCTCTACCATCGCAAGATAAGGGTAAGGTCTGTGTACATACTACCCTCCCCAGACTCCACTTGTGGGATTCCACTGGGTTTATTATTGTTGTTGTTGGTGTTGTTGTAAGCGTCTCTGCCTACCTTCATCCAATATACACGTAATAACCACATATACTAATCTCTGAAGGTCTTGGCATTATATACCTAAGGTAAAATTGTAATTTTAGTAAAGCTTATTGGGTTATCGGTTAAATCATTAATAAAATTGAAAAAACCAAATCCCGGATCGATAACCCAATAGCTAAATAATACTAAACTGTTACTGAACCATTAATCTAATAACTCGATACCAATAACCTATAATATTGTTTTGGTTCAGACTATTAGTTTTACCCGCGATATGCCCGACCCCTGCTCCACTTGCTCCATATTTGATTTATTCAATTCTCTTGTACTCCACTTGGTGCATAAACGCGTCGTTTTTGCCACTTTGAACCTGAAATACCTCCACTATTCTAAGAAATAAACGATCCCAAGGAAGGAAATTATGGGATATTTGATTGTTCTTTAAGCAATCTTTGGGGAGAAACAACTACAAACCATCTCGGGAAATACAAAATTCAATAGGACGGCCCATATTTAATTATGCATTATTATCATGATTTTTGAATAATCAATGTATAAATGATAAAGCGGCAAAGGTTTAGACTAAGGGGTGCTGAACAGTTGGAGATGCAGTCGCCATAGCTTGGGCTTCGCACATGTTAGGAGACGACCTTAAGGAAGTTTCAGATTGGTTCAACTTTACGCTTCCTTTCTGTTCATTTATTACCCCTTCAATCTGTTCTCAATATCAGATACCTAGCTCTAGTGAACTCTCGTCCAAAGTCAAACCATATTTTTTTGTTTTATCCGGTATCTGATACTAATATTGGGACCGATTAAATTTTTTGGATTCGTATCGAAAAGTTACGTGTTGGGGAAATCTATTCTGACCGGGACAACTTCATACCCAAAGCTCAAATTCAAAATATTTTATTAAGAATAAAAAAGTACTTACCATTCCATAACAATTCGTGTTCGTCTTCTAATAAACTCTCGTTCAAGTCAAAGCTGATGAGCATGTATTACCTGTATATATAGTCGCAAAGTTTTTCTTTCTTCTTTTTATATTTTCCTGGGCCCTCAATACCATGATGTTTAAGTTTGTAGTGTAGAGCAAGTCTTAGCTACTAATGAAGTTTTAGTTAAACTGGGCTTTGCTCATTCAGAGGATTTTGTCAAAGGTACATTAAAGGAATCATTGCGTATTCTTTCTGACAATGTAAGTTTTGATATCATAGCAAGATAACAAAAATGGGTTCACAACTTAAATTTTATAGATTTAACCTTTAAGGTTCTCAGAGGTCGTTTGGTTGGTAAGATAAGAGATAGTAATTTCGAAATTATTTTATCTCGCATTTGGTTAAATTTTTAAATTCAAAATAAGCAATTTTGGGATTAATTTATACCACAAAAATGGGTAACTCGGTGCACGAAACTCCCTTTATGTGCGGGGTCCGGGGAAGGACCGGACCACAATGGTCAATTGTACGCAGTCTTACCCTACATTTCTGCAAGAGGCTGTTTCCACGGCTCGAACCCGTGACCACAATTGTGGTATTATTCTATCCTATATGAGGATGGAATAGTAATCCTGATATTACTTAATCCAGAAATAAAATACTACAGGGATAAAGATGCTCTTTTTCAAGGCTATTCCCCCAAAGCCCTTTAAGAAATTCAAGGTCAAAATTGAAGATAAAAGTTTATCCTAACTAATCTGGTATACACCAAACACATATTTTATGTCCACTTAACCAAACATCTCCGAATAAAAATATATCCACTAATAATCCCGTCACTATTTAATTTTCTATTATAATTTTGCTATTATAATCCCGTGATAACTTATTTTTCAATCAAATGGTTCCTTAGTATTGAACTCATTATGTTTTTAAATTTATGAGTTTATTTTTATTATTTATCATAATTTTAGTAAACTTTTACACATAAATTTATGCTACGCATCGATAATTGTGGGTTCAATTAAATATGTCCCTAAGTTCCAATGATACATTCGCCCCTGACAAGCAAATGTACTGAGTTTAAGTTTGGCCACCGTTCATTAGTAGAAAATATTTCTATATTTGGAGCCCATAAAAAGAATCAGGCTTACCTATGGGACATGATGAATATACAATTAAGTAAAAAAATGCATCACCAGTAATAATTTAACCTCTAGATTGGATGATCATGCGCAATTCAAAAGAACTCAAGATTGATGTCTTTTGCATATGTAGTGATCATCCAAAAATGAATGCTTATAATTTTTTTTGGACAATATCAAATCCCTAATAGTCGATTTTGCTTTTGATCATTAATTTCTTTTAAAATAAAATTCCATATCCAAAAGTTAATTAAAGGAGCAATTGATCACTATTTATAAGAATTCAAAATACGTAGCCTGTTTGAAGAATTCGAGTGAAAAAAGCTAAAATAATAGTAGTCATATAAAATGGAATAGAAGAATAATATGGTTTAAACCCAATAATTACTGCTAGATATGTACGTTTGAACCAAAATTAATCGACTAATTGACATTGTTCCGTATTCGACACTCCTTTAATCTTTAAAAGAAAAAAAACCTACAAGGCCGTAATATATCGTTCGCTTCATGACAATATACAGATCATGAGTCTTTTAAATACTTATATGCAGATATTATTGTAATATGTCTGTTTATAATTTCAAATTTAATTAATTAAGATTGTTGTATAGTGATAAAAACTCCTTCATCCTCAATTAAAATTTTTGATTTGAGTTTTAAATATAAAATCATCTTTATTAAGAAATATTTTACTATGAATATGAAACTTCTATTGTGGAGCCACAGAGTGGGAAAACAATTCACACTTGTGGCTAGGGGTTGAAATTTGATTACAGGTGTCAGGAAGATAGCTGTTGCTCCATGCCCACGCAAGAAGGTCTTGTGCATGCATGACAGTGGATTACTGATTTATTTAGTTTGGGAGTTTGAATATTATTTTAAATTTTCTATCTGTCGTTCTTTCCCCCCTTAAATAGAGGATACAACACGTGATCTAAAGTTGACATTTTTGTTTTAGAATATTTAAAGTTCCAGGAAGGAAGGAGAGGTATTAATTGTTGAAATCTGGCGAACGTTCATTCCTATTAGCGTTAGGTTGCAAGAACCTTGTGCTTTCATTATACTAAACTATGTGAATGACTTGTCTTGGTCAAATCGGGAGATAATTTTGGTTTTTCTTTTTAAAGATAAATTGCATTAATTAGTATCATTATACATAAACAACAATAACAACAACAACAAACCCAGTAGTTTCCCAGAAGTGACGTTTGGGGAGGGTAAGGTGCACGCAACCTTACCCCTACCTTGAAAAGGCTGAGGGGCTGTTTCCGATACACCTTCGGCTAGAGAACGACTGAAAAAGAAAAGATAATTACAACAAGTAAGAATAACAGCAAGATGAAATAAGATTGAATCCAAGAATGCAGTTAAACTCTAGGTATTAATAGCCATCTATAGATAAAAGATATCATACTAACACTAATGCTAGTGAACTGGGTAAGACAAAGAGAAACGCTCGACTACCTACGAACCTTCTACCCTAATCCTTGACCTCCACACCCTCCTGTCTAGGGCCATTTCCTCAGTCAGCTCCAGCTGCGCCATGTCCCACCTAATAACCTCTCCCCAAGACTTCTTATGCCTACCTCTACCTCTCCTGCTACCCACCGAGGCTAACCGCCCGCACCTTCTAACTGGGGCTTCTATACTTCTCCTCTTAACATGCCCGAACCATCTCAACCTCGCCTCCCACATCTTATAATCCTCCACAGGGGCTACTCCCACCTTTTTCCCAATAACTTCATTCCTAATCATATCCAACCGGGTATGTCCACACATCCTCATCTCAGCTACTTTTAGCTTCTCGGTATGAGATTTTTTGACCGGCAACACTCTGCTCTATACTACATAGTCGGTCTTGTCATGCCCCAATCTCGGGGAGCGCGACCGGCGCTCAACCGAGTGAACCCGATAGAGCAAGCCTATTAGACCTTCCCTACCCGACTCATTCATAATCCAAAAAGGGAACGCATCACCATTTGTTAAACATGGGAGAGATCAGTTATATAAATAAATAAACGTTGCTAGTCCATTTTTTATTATATACATTATGCCATAGTTAAGTTTCCAAAATACAACTTAGTCCAGTGACCACTCTGATACCCATACACGACCCACATAAACGTCTACGGAGCCTCTAATGATACAAAATACCAACATGATAATGCCGGCAACAAGGCCCCGGCTATACCTCAAAATGGGAAAACTTCTACAAAAGAAGGACTACATGACCCCAGGAGGAAATGGGGCTCACCAAGACTGTTGTGATGAGTGTGAGGGAGAGCACCACTATCTACGATCAGCGCTATCTGCGATGGAACCACCTACATCCATTCAAAGATGTAGCGCCCCTGGAAAAAGGGACGTTAGTACTGTCGAATAGTACTAGTATGCAAGGCAAACACCAATCTTAGTAGAATGAACAGTGAAACAAGGAGAAGGCAGTCATAATAATCAATAAGTGCTTCACATAAATACACAGAAACACCAAGTAAGGATCACATAGTTTTCGATTCAATCTTTCCATCTTTTTAGGTTAATAATCTTTAGTGCCAAATACCACAACTCACAATGCCACCATGATTTTACACGGAGTCTGGTCTCGGCCCGACCGGCTAAGCCATCTCAGGTGAGACATATCCATATCCACAATGTAAATTAATAATTCCAACACAAATGCCACCATGTGTATAGCATGGCATCCGATCTCGGCCCGATCGGCTAAGCCATCTCACTTGAGACATAACCTCTTTCAATTGTTCACTCAATTCACATTTCTTTCTCCCAATTTTGTTACACAAACAACCTCATTTATTAAGTAGTTCTTGGCACTTAGGAACATTTTACAATTCAAGTCTTTCCCTTTTTATCTGTTCAAAGAACATCATCATTCATGTCGATAAGTATCATCACATAAGGCATTACATATATAAGGGAAGGAACTTGGAAAATCATAATAACGTTCTCAAGTAGCATGATGACATGGTAAACATCTAAAATAATTAGTGAACATGAATCTTCCAACCCAACACACTAAGGCAAACAATTCTAGTATGATCAAGTCGGAACTTACACCAATTATTCGGACACCAGGAGTTCGATTCTAGGAAGAAGAGAGTTAGCCATACATACCTCAATTGCGCTTCTTTAGACTCTATAATTATCCGGAACCCTTAACAACCTCAATCTATTTTAGCAATATACAAATTGAACCCAGAATTAGGAAAATATTCATGGTTCTAGCTCACTTTCCCCCCCCCACTCTTTATCACACATGCATGCAAGATAAACAACCCTTATACCCATGGACCATCTTATTAATTACTCATTTTCAGTATAAGTTTCAAAATTTAGGGCTAGGGTATAGATTCTTACCTCTAGGATGGAGGCCTAGGTTGCTTTCCTTGATAATCTTCAAAGTTTCAAGCAAGAATTGAAGAATAATTAATGAGGATCACTTTCTCACTCTAAGGCTCCCTCTCTCACTCTATAGTATCAGAAAATGAGCTCAAAATAGACTATGGCATATGTTATATCGACACAAGGTCGGGTAAAAAAATTAGAAATTAGGAGCCCCGACACAGATCTGCGGTCGCATATGCGATCGCATAATGGTTATGCGATCCGCAAAGTGACCGCAAAAATGGCCCTCAGGGGCCTAAACTTTCGGCCCAGGTATGCGACCAATATGCGGTCCACCTATTTATTCTGCGGTTGCATAATGCACTGCAGAACTCCCTCCGCAGAAACCCAAGAGGAATTATGCGACCAATATGAGGTCCGCATATCGATTATGCGGTCGCATAATCAACCGCAAAGCTGACCTCAAATTGGCCAAACTTTCTGCTTCACTCTGCGACCATTATGCGATCCGCAGAGTGATTATGGGGCCGCATAATGGGCCGCAGAAACACGTTCTTCTGCTAAACATTTTTATCTAAGTACGTAGGGTACTGTTCACTCCAAAAAGTCCGAACCGCGGCGAGTTGCGAATTATAAGTCCGAAGAATTTCTACTATAATAACGCAGAAATCTATCTTGGTGCCACGAAACCCCGAGTTTTTAGTTTAAATTTTTACGGGTCCTTACAGGTCTAACTACAACCTTGTATAACTTACCTTTAAGTCTCCGCAGCACATTCTTATCACACAAGACACCGGAAGTGAGCCTCCACTCCATCCATCTTGCTCCGATACGATGCGTGACATCTTCATCAATCTCCCCGTTACCTTGTATTATAGATCCAAGATACTTGAAACTATCTCTCTTGGGGAAGACTTGCGCATCAAGCCTCAGCTCCATATCCCTTTCCTGGGTACCGTTGCTGAACTTGCACTCCAAGTATTTCGTCTTGGTCCTGCTCAACTTGAAACCCTTAGACTCTAGGTTCCGCCAATCATTATACAAAAAAAAAACTGAACTTACAATTATAGTTGTTGTGACCAAACGAACACACAAGTATATTTGGTCGACAAGTAATAGAGTAATGAGTAGAGTATCTTTTCCACAGAGACTTATGATTAACTATCAATTAAATTAACTACAATGAATTATTTATCAAGTGATTTCTCAAATTGTGATGGTTATTAACTAACTACTTCAAAAATTATAAAGCAGTCTAATAAACTAGAGATCGAATGCAACAAATAGGCAACTTGGGATAAAAATCAATGGAAGAAGCTATTCCAGGGTTATAGGTTAGCCAACAATTATGTTGGATTTTTTTCCTTAAACTGACTAGTTGATTTATTTGATTTGTTGATTGATATGGTTAATATTACTTGGAAGAATTTGTCGAGTTTTTACTTGCCTATTCAAGTTAACCTAATGCCTATATGTATATAGAATTAGGACTAACAAGAACGCATTTATAATTCATGTATTTCAACCAAGCAAGACAATTATGTATATGTCAATCCTAACCGCGAATCCGTCTCGCGATGCCAGGTTCAAGAACTTGCTCTGTATTTAATCTTATATGCAATCTAGAATTCTTCAATTTCAATTCTAGATTTGTAAATGGTATTTCACTGTTAATTACGCAGCGAAATAATTAAGCGAAGAACTATATAAACAAACTAATCTAATAAAATTAAAGTCGTCAATTTAAACTTCAAACATCAATATTCATGTAGTACCCATAACCCTAAAACGAAGAGAACTAGCCACTAATATTAGTCATGCTACCAATCATGGAAATGTTTAAGAGTATTAAACTACAAGTGATAAGAGAAAGAAAGAAANCCCCCCCCCGAAAAAATGAATTTAAGGACTGTTTATAGATGTAGGAAAAATCCTAAATGCAAATAACCTTGTCCAAGAAAACACAAGAAAAGGTTAGTGTCACGATCCCAATCTCCCTCCATAGGATGTCGTGATGGCACGTAGTATCTAAGACTAGGTAAGCCTAACATACATAAAGAATTGACACAAATAATAATAAAACTCCCAATTAAACCAACAACCATCATACAAAGGACTTCCCAATACAATTGAATAAAACATTCAAAAGCTAGTGATACCGAGTCATAAGCTCTACACGAGTATACTGAAACATCCATATACAATAATATCTATAAAAGGAGAATTAATTAGGAACAAGATAGGGGGTGACTCTGAGGCCTGCGAACGCCGACAAGTATACCTTGGAGTCTTCGATCCAAGGTTAACTCATGGATGCCTAGCCTGGTATGAAGTATATGGATCTACAAAAAAAGATGTGTAGAGGCATAGTATGAGTACACCACAACAGTACCCAGTAAGTATCAAGCTTAACCTCGGTAGAGTAGTAACGAGTTCAGGTCAAGACACCTTATGACGACTCGACCGGTCATTTTGTGAAATTGCAACCCGTTACCACTTTTTATGCTTCACACATGTGTTTTTATGATTTTATGACACGCGGGGTTGGTTAGTTCCATTCCGGAAAGCTTTCGGGTTGATTCAGACCCCTTGATTCTTGACTTAGAGGATTAAATTAGAAACTATTGACCAAACCTTGACTTTTGTGAAAATGACCCTGGAACTGTATTTGGATGACTTTGATAGATTTGTATCATGATTTCGGACATGGGCATATGTCCGAAATTGATTTCGGAAGTCCGTAGGTCGATTTGCCAAAATTTGGCAATTTGAAGTTGAAAGGTTTTACCGTAGATTGACTTTTAGCTATCGAGCTCGAAACTTGAATTTGGGACTTGGAATAGGTCCGTTATGGTATTTAGAACTTGGTTGCAAAATTTGGTGTCGTTTGGAGTTGATTTGATTGGATTCGGACATTTAGTTATAAATTTAGAAATTCTTGAACTTTACTTTGAAATTCATGTGTTTTAGTGTTCGATTCGTAGTTTTAGATGTTATTTTTATGTTTTGATCATGTGAGTGAGTTTGGTAGTGACATGTTACGGAGTGTTTTGGACTGACATTTGCAAAATCTGGTGTCTGGTGCCTATCGTGTCCCAATTGCGAACACCAGGGTCACATTTGCGACCTTAGTAGGGAACTCACAGGTATCGCAACTGCGATGCCTGGGTTGCATTTGCAAAGAAGTGTTGGGTTTGGCTAGGTTCACATTTGCGATGGTCTTCATCGCATTTGGGAGGGAATCAGGGTTCGCAATTGTGAACCCATCTTCGCACTTGCGAAGAGCTTCCCAGGCCTGTCAGTGACGCAATTGCGAGGGTCGCAATTGCGAACCCATATCGCAATTGCAATAACTGCAAATTAACATAAGGCCTGGAAGTCGGGATTTCATCTCTTATTCTCTCATTTCTGAACCCTAGATT